GGTGGGGGGTAATGAAACATATATTTTCCCATTCTTGAGCTTTTGGAGTAGGCAACGTTTCCCCTGAATAACAATCAAATTTTAAATATATATATATACATGAAGGGATTAGATCCAATTTTTAAAGAGTCTGTCTTTGTAATTTCAAGTGACCTTCCTTCAGAACCCCTTTAACTATTTATCTGATCAATAACGACGAGGAAAAAGTTGTTTTCTAGGTTGAAGACCATTTCATTATTTCTGCATTGTTTTTGAAGCAGAAAGCCACATATTAAATTATCAATTTTGCAAAGTGAAAATGATAACTTTGGGATTTTTGAAAAGACAAAGACTTTTAGAGCACCGTTGTGTCACTCTATAAATAGAGATAGCCACTGCAAATTATGTCTAACAGCCCCTTTAAGAAAATGAGATCTAAATTTCGTAATCCCTTTTTTTAAATCCAACTAACATTTTTGTAAACAATCTCTTTAAAGCCTATATTTTAAGATACTAATTGTAGGTTCTGAGTGTGAATCTAAGAATGTGAGTGTATACATAGATGCAGAATATACAGTTTACCAACCTGGAGTTAGACTGATTGTCCTAGCGCTTATGCACATATTCAATAGAGATCACCAGTAAGTATTACAGCAATGTCATCATAACGTTACAGCAACGTTGCCTCTACTGCAGAATATACAGTTTACCAACCTGGAGTTAGGCTTATTGTTCTTGCGCTTATGCATATATTCAATAGAGATCACCAGTAAGTATTACAGCAATGTCATCATAACGTTACAGCAACGTTGCCTCTACTGCAGAATATACAGTTTACCAACCTGGAGTTAGACTTATTGTTCTTGCGCTTATGCATATATTCAATAGAGATCACCAGTAAGTGATGCAACGTTGTCATTACTTTGCCCCAACGTAATGTAATATGCCACAAAAATGTTTTTGTATCTTTTACAACAAAGTCTATGCTGAAAAGTTGAAACTAGCATTTACTGCAATTTTTTCACGTAAATGCAATTATTTCATCTTCAATCAGGTTTAATTTCTGTTACTTAAAAAAATATCATTACTGCCTGGTCAAAATTGTATAAAACTGCAAATTCAGGATTCAAGACATTTTATCAAAAATCTCTTTTGTAAAATGTTTATAAAAAATAAATATTTCACACACAATATTATATAATTTTGATACATATTTATTCTTTTTTTAATTTTTTAGAAATTATTATTTTTGTTATCATTTGTTTTTTGCAGTACAGTGTGGAACACTTACCAATGCTATCTCAAGAAAACAGAACAACAAATTTATGATGATACTGCTCTCATAACCTCATTGGGTGCAAGGTAATTATTTTTGTACTATTTGTCCTTACTACCCTATATTTTCCTTTTTCTACTAACTAATCACTATTGGTTCTTTCTGTCCTATGTACTCTACATTAGTCCCTTCTGTCCTAATTACTGAATTTTTGTCATTTTGTCCTAACTACTCAATATTAGTTGTTTCTTTCCTACATACTCAATATTAGTCCTTTTCTGTCTTAACTACTCAATTTTTGTCCTTTTGTCCTAACTACTCAATATTTTTTCTTTTAGTTCTAATTGCCTTACACTTGTCTGTCTTGTCATATATTCCATTCCTTTCTGTTCCGTATATTGCAATTTTTTCTGTGCAATGAAATGAAAAACCAGTATTCTTGCAATTTTGAGTTTAAAATTTTTTTTGAATTTTTAATTAAGATATTTTTGAGGTGGGCTGGAAAAATGGTTCGAGGAGCTTACATGGAATTTGAAAGAACAAATGCTTTGGTTTGTAATTTTATTTTAAATTTGTTTTTATTTTGCTTTGTATTACAGACAGTGTTGTGGACAGTTTTAAAATTACAATTCCTTGAAGGAGGTTTCGTGGGGGGGGGGGGGGGNTATACAGATTTAATACAGATACATTATAGATATACAGATTTAATACAGATACATTATAGATATACAGAAGCAATACATATACATTATAGATATTTAGATCTAGTACAGATACATTATAGATATACAAATTTAATACAGATACATTATAGATATACAGATTTAATACAGATACATTATAGATATACAAATTTAATACAGATACATTATAGATATATAGATCCAATACAGATACATTATAGATATACAGATTTAATACAGATATAATACAGATACATTATAGATATACAGATACAATACAGACATATAATACATAAAGAGATACAGAAAAAAAACAGAAAAATCAAATAAATTCATGGATATAATTAAAATATAATATCATAAAATCAAATTGATACGGATCGAGAGATCTAAGTAAGGGATACAGACTCACAGAGAGAGAGACGCAGAAAACTGTTTAATTATTTAGAATATGGAATAGAGGGAATGGATTTCTTAAATTAATATTCATAGTTTCTAAATCCACCTATTTATTTAAATTACAAAGTTTATTCAACTGACAGATAGATATAGATAGATATATAGATAGATAAATATAAGCATTGATAGAAGGATAGACAAATAGATAGAGGGAAAGATAGATAGATAGATAGATAGATAGATAGATAGATATATAATTAGATAGATAGATAGATAGATAGATAGATAGATAGATAGATAGATAGATAGATAGATAGATAGATAGATAGATAGATAGATAGATAGATAGATAGATAGATAGATAGATAGATAGATAGATAGATAGATAGATAGATATGTAGATAGATAGATAGATAGATAGATAGATAGATAGATAGATAGAAAGATAGATAGATAGATATGTATATGGATAGATAAATATAAGGATTGAAAGAAGGATAGATAGATAGATAGATAGATAGATAGATAGATAGATAGATAGATAGATAGTATTAGTATTGTTAACGACATGTTCATCAGGAAAACAAAGTATCCGACCCCATTCATTCTTCACTAGAGAACACTGCTGCTGCATACAACAGGTTTTATCTCAAAATAAGAATTATTTTAAAAATATTTATAAATTTCATTTTTTTATTAAAATTCTGATACATCTAGATCATCATTCTTGTATTATCAATTATTACCACTTTAATTATTCTTATATTTTTAACATAATTATTATTTTAATTATTATTATTATTATCAGTGGCGTTGTGGGGAGGGGTGAGTCCCCTGTGCATCCCCCAGACATGCACCCCCTAGGCTCACCGCCCTAGGAGGCAGTATTATTAAAGCTTTTAATTATTTTTTGTTAATTCTAAGGCCCCGTATCATTTGAATAGAATGCTATTTTTAATCTATTTTTTTTAATGGTTGAAAACAACTGCATGTTTCCATAACTTTTTACCAAAATTCATTTATTTTTATTATTTTAACCCTCTGGATTGAACAATCTTCATCATCAATATGTATAATGTAGATATATGCAAACACCACCCACCGGAAAATTTGAGAATATTTTTTATCAACAATGTTTCGGAACATCTCGCCACAAAGCGCCACAAAATGCAGATTTAGGTATCGTTAAAAAGCTTTGAATAATACTGTCTACAGTGTAATCTAGTCATAATATAATTGATATTAATATGATATACTGAAAAGCATAAAAATTACTTTTTAAACGTTTTTTGCTCGTTTTTTAACTATTAGATTTTATGGTATGATTTTTAATTATGGTCAGATGACATAGTCAGGTATAGGTTAATAAAGATTTTAAACTTTAATTTTTTTTCTGAATACGTTTTTTTTAGGGGGGTGCACACAAAAAATATTTGCAAACAACTTTTCAAAGGAAATTTGCACATTTTTAGTTTTTCTTGATTAAAAATCAGGTTATTTAAAATTTTGCAAACATTTTTGCATATTAAAAATGGCATGGTCAAGGGCTTTTCAAAAATGTATAATTTTTCATTTTTTGGACAAATTTTTTTTTGCAAACATTTTTACTATATAACTGGATTTTGCGATAAAAAAATTAATTTTTGCAAATTTACAAATTTATTTGCAGATTCTAAAAGTAGAGCACAAGAGCTTTCCAATGATGTACCATTTGTCATATTTGGATGGACAATAATCATGGGATTTAGAGGGGGTTAAATTGACCCCCCCCCCAGCATATCCTGATTTTCAAGTACCCCAGCAGAGATAGGGTTAAATTATAATTTTCGAAACGTCCACCTTTACTCTACAAACTAAGAGTCCTCATTTTCTAAAGTTTTTCAATGTTCATAATTTTTAAATTCAATTTTTTTACTTTCCACAATTGTCTACAATTCTCAAAATGACTTGCGTATTTCTGCTGAAGTAAAACAATATAGAAACTTTGAGAATTAAACACTTTTAAATTTGTTTCTCTCACTATTCAGGTGTATTTTCGCAACACACAACCTCGAGAGTATTTTGCTAATATGTCACCACCAGAAATCCATTTATTGCAAGGTAGAAGTTTTTCTTCAAATTCATTTTTTTGAGAACGTTATTTTGAATAAGTAACAACTAAAAATACTGGAACAAAACTAAGCTTACACGTTCAAGGATTTTATTGACCAAGGTTATACTTCAAGGAAAGTTAATTGCAGTTGCGTATACTCTGCTTACATATTGAAACCAGTTCTCTCTCGGCGGAATTTGTAAAAAAAGAATAAATGCATCAGTGTTCGTTTAGTATCCGAGGAGGATAAAAGCATTTAATTTTGATAATTTACATAATTTACATAATAGTTTCCTATGACCAGAATATGTCATTGATTTTTAATGTAAAAGATAAACTCATAAGTTTACAAATTTTTCAGGATAAAATTTACTTTGGTCAGATTGCTGGTATGGCAGAAGGCAGGGTTGAATTCAGATCATGCAAAGTATAGTTTAATAACAACACAGATAGAACAAAATATGTCTTCTTTTTAACATTTAGTGATTTTTCGTTCACAATAACCCTCTAGGTGTCATTAGAATTGCAATTTTTAAGTGTCATTAGAAGTACAATTTCTAGCTGTCATTAGAAGTACAATTTCTAGCTTTCATTAGAAGTACAATTTTTAGGTGTCATTAGAAGCACAAGTTCTAGCTGTCATTTGAAGTAAAATTTCTAGCTGTCATTAGGAGTACAATTTCTTTATGTCATTAAAATTACAAGTTCTAACTGTCATTAGAAGTACAATTTCTAGGTGCCATAAGAAGTACAATTTCTAGATGTCATTAGAAGTACAAGTTCTAGATGTCTTAGAAGTACAATTTCTAGGTGTCATTAGAAATACAATTTCTAGGTTTTATTAGAAATACAATTTCTAGGTGTCATTAGAAGTACAATTTCTAGCTGTCTTAGAAAAATTTCTTGCTGTCTTAGAACAATTTCTAGCTGTCTTAGAAGTACAATTTCTAGATGTCTTAGAAGTACAATTTCTAGGTATCTTAGAAGTACAATTTCTAGGTGCCATAAGAAGTACAATTTCTAAGTGTCATTAGAAGTACAATTTCTAGGTGTCATTAGAAGTACAATTTCTAGCTGTCATTAGAAGTACAATTTATAAGTGTCATTAGAAGTTCAATTTCTTGCTGTCATTAATAGTACAAATTCAAATAAACCAGAGTTTGTAGAGTCTTGATTCAACCCTGCGCCAAGGTATATCATGTGGATTGGCTCAAACTGGTTTTAATGTTTACAAACTAGTTCCAACTGGATCTGTGGATGAGGTAAACCGGTTTTAATGTTTACTAACTAGTTCCAACTGGTTCTGTGAATGAGGTAAGCAAAACCGGTTTTAACTTTTACAAACTAGTTCAAACTGGATATTGGGATAAAGAAAATCGGTTTTAATGTTTACAAACTAGTTCAAACTGGTTCTGTGGATGAGGTAAACCGGTTTTAATGTTTACAACCTGGTTCCAATCCAACTGGTTCTTTGGATGAGGTAAGCAAAACCGGTTTGTTAACAAACTAGTTCCAACTGGTTCTGTGAATAAGGTAAACCGGCTTTAATGTTTACAAACTAGTTCCAACTGGTTCGGTGGATGGGGGAAGATTCAAGATTTTTTAATTTTTCATATTTGATTAAAAGCGAGAATTTGAACTTCGTAGTCTAGTTGAACCACTTCTTTTATGTGCTGGTTCAGTGTTCGTGTTAAAGAAAGGTGGTTCAGCAACCTCAACGTGGTTCAACTACTCTTTTCTATTCATTTAATTTTAGGGATTGCTCTCAAAGAGGTTTTTTATTTTAGGTTTTACCCTGGCTTTCTAGAAGAATGGCAGAGAATAGAGGGATTATGGCTGGTGCCAAACATGACAGGTTCAGGTCTTTGTAATTTCAAATAACCCTCCAGTTTAAGAGGGTTTACCCCAGTATACTTTAAAACTTAATCTCATCCATAATGTGGAGGATATTGTCGTTTTCCTTGTGTTATAAGTGTTTAATTCTTGATATCTATTTATGAGCATGCCAGATTCACGATGTAACTCTTGAAACATTTTTCTGAGAACTCTGACATTGTTTTCTTGCAGTAGAAATGCGCAAGCCACTTTTGTAGAGAAACCACAATTAAAAATAATTTTTTTTCAAAATCATATGTTCATGGCTGACTAATTCATACTTGATCAGACAAAGGTTTTAAGGGTACCGTTGTAAGACTAAGACGTTGGAACTGGAAGTTAATTGTAAATTACTGTAACAGTGGGCGAGTTTTGTTGATCTTTTACGATCAGCAATTCAAGGATTTTTTGGATCGCTGAGATCATAGCTACCAAGGGGAATCATGCCCCTTGGATCCGAATGGCTCAGGTTTTACTTTTAATTATNTATCTTGAAGACCCAAGCGTTGGGGAGGGGGCGGAACAACCCCGGGGTAGCTAGGGTTAAATGCGATCCTAGGATAAAGCAAAATCGAAGGAGGAGAGTTAGTTGATCGTCAGCTCCCTTAAACTGAGGTTCCCTTGAAGAATTCCCCTATTTGATGAAACTGATTTGATTCATAATATTTAGTTTGTATAAGTATCGTTCGATTTAAAGTTTGTATTTTTGTATCTTTTGCATATAAAAATATTATAAGAAAAACCGACTCGTTGAATATTTGAGAAACTCAGTGCATTGCTTTATTGATTTTTATTGATATACAATATTACGTTTACAGACCATTCAAGTCGTAAACATATAATTATTGCTTTCAAACTGGATTTGTAAATCTTAGACGTTGATTTAAAGCTACATATTATAGCGGTTCCTGATAATAATATTTTCTATCTTAGGCTCATGATTTACGAAGAACTTTGCCGAAGAAATAAAGAAGCTTGGAACATAAGAAAATGTCTATAAATATAGTTAAGAAACAAAAGGATATGTGAATATTTCCATTAATATTTGTTGAAAAAATAACCCACGAAGCATATAAGTATAAAAGATTTTTGATGTCTAAATAAACTGTAAAAAGTCTTTACTATCTTTCAAGGATTTACCAACATTCATGTTTCGTGACACCCCCTGTTCTTTAATATAAACTGTACTGCAACGAAGAACATGTCTGTCGATGGAGGGAACCCCCGGACGCCATGTGCCTCCAACCCTGCAGACAAGAGCCTCCCAGATTTGCTAGGGTGACCGAGCTTCAGCTATGCAGACCGAGCCTCCGCTATGCAGTGAACAAGGCCTTCGCTATACAGAAGTACTTTTTAAAACTCTTGTTTCGTATGTATAATAAAATGTTTTTGACAATTCTGTCGACATAGTGGCATGAGAGGTTTCTCAAAAATGTTTTTATCAATTAGCATAAATAGCGCCTATTTATGACTAATAAAGTGGTATCTAAAATTTAAACATTTTTTACACGAAAAGGAAAATATTAAGAGAAAAAATTTGAATTGAATTTCATTTCATCTTTTATAATCTTTGATTTGAGCGATACTTTTTTTGTAGTTCAAATTAAATCTAGAAAATTTGTATCATTTATTTAAATCTTAACATTTTTCAAAAAAAGCATCGATTAAATCAAAGATTACAACAAAACTAGCTAAGTTTACTCAAGAAATATTTCTCCAAATATCTTCCTTTCTGCGTAAGAAATGTTTAAAGTTTTAGTATAAATCTTATAAACCACTTTATGAGTTCTTATATGTTTCTAATCATGACAATCAAAAAATATTTCTAATCTTTAGTAAAATTCTTATGCCACTACGCCAAAAAAAATTGTTTAAATTTTTTATTACACATAAAAACCAAGATTTAAAAAAGCTGTTCTGTAGAGTGTAGGCTCATTTACTGCATTGCAGAGGCTTGGTCTGCATAGCGGAGGCTTGGTCTGCATAGTTGAGACTCGATCTACCTAGCAAATCTGGGAGGCTCTTGTGTGCATAGCAGAGGCTCATGGCGTCCGGGGATTCCCTCCCTCGTTCTGTCTTAGTATCGTAATAATTACAAATGAGAATTCGAAGATATAGTTAAGAGAAGGAACCCCAGAGCCCGAAATTTAAAAGAGTATTGTTGAACGAAACTCCCGAGTTTCCTTTTTGGGGTCTTAAGATTTGTGTAGATTTTGATTTAAGAGATTCGAAAAAATGGAGAATATAAACAAACTGAAAAAAATAATATTTCATTACAAAAATATTGATATTCACAAAAAATGCCTAAACCCATTCGTGAAACCCGGGTTTTAAAACTGGTTGTCATAACGATACCCTGTCTTAAGTTTTGGGCTCCGAGCCCGAAATTTAAGAGTTTCCTTTTTGGGGTCTTAACATTTGTGTATATTTTGATGTAAGAGATTCGAAAAAATGGAGAATATGAAGAAACATAAAATTTCATAACAAAAATATTGATATCCACAAAACTGCATAAACCCATCCATGAAACCTGGTTTTCCAAACTGGTTTTCATAACGATACCCTGTCTTAAGTTTTGGGCTCCGGCCGCTATGAGACTTCCAGATTTGCTATGCAGCAAACATTTTATACTTGAAATTGAGGATATAAAGAAAACATATTTTAAAATTAATTTGATTTGATTTTTTTAAATTTTTGATCTTTTGTTGTTTAGATCATTCTTATTAATAATGAAGATAAAAAAACATGAAGATAAAACTGCGGAATTAGATTCTTTTAGAAAGAAATATTAGTGAGAAAATATTTTAGATGTGACAAGGATTACAACAACAGATGTAAAGAAAGCACTTTTAAACTTAAAACCTGGAAAAAGTGATAATGTATTTGATTTTTACATCAGATTGCATTCAGAATTCATCTGATTTATTGATAAACCATGTAACTAAGCTGTTTCAAAGTTTCGTTCTATATGGAAATGTGCCAACATTTCTCTTAATTTGTACTCTTATCCCGATAATCAAGGATAACCATAGATAAAGATAGATTGCGCATAAGACGACATTTTTCATCATGAAAGATATAAATGTACAGAGATGTTTTAAAGATATTCCTATTACATAGATTAGGTCGGTTGTGAACATTGGCTGTTCTTATGTCATTGAGTACTTGAGGTGTTCAAGAGTTCTGTAGAGAGAAATTTATGTTAGTTTAGTCCTTCTCATGTCCTTCTTCAATTCTCGTAAATATGATATATTGCTCAGTGAAATAAAATTCACTCCTGAGTGGTTTAATAATTATGAAATCCATTAAAACACCAAACCACCCCGCTTATAATTGAAGTATACTTTGACCCCTAGAAGTATGAGTTCGCTGACTGTACAATTCTTGGTGATTTTGCGTACATAAGCTATCTATGTTTATTTATTTATCTATGGGGATAACCTAGGGGATACAGCTTCTAGTGAGAATTACAGACCTATTGCAATAGGAAACTTAATTCTTAAATGGTTCGATTCTTTAATTCTTATCATGAAGAATGACAAACTAAATATGGACGAATTACAGTTTGGTTTTCAGAAAGGAACTGGAACGTATATGTGTTCCTGGGCAACAACGTCAGAATTATAGATTATTATAACCGAGCTGGAAGACCTGTTTTTGCTTGTTCAATGGATTTATCCAAAGCCTTTGATGTTGTTTCCTGGATACAGTTATTCAAGGAACTTGAAGATAGAGAAGTATCTCCAGCTGTTCTGAGAACATTATTATATATATACAGAGGACAAACATACCAGGTACAATGGAACAATAGTGTATCTATAGGGTGTCTCGATAAACATGGAAATTCAGTGACGAATTAGATATCGTATTTTTAAATAATTCTTTGATTTAGTATAGTGATACCTACTGAGAAAGCTGTAAGAGTTTTGTCTGCTATGTCCACATTTTGTTTGCTTATGTTTTGACTGCATACGGTTGTTCTTAGTAAAACAAGAAAATTGCAGCATACAAACAAAGTAAACTTGTCCGTCTTCACTGTTCATCTTGCGGAGACATTATAGACACATATTTACAGTTATTTACCGTTTTCATAAAATAAACTCTTACAGAAATAATAATGTTATGGGTTTTGAAATTAGGTATTACAATGCTAATTCATAACAAAGACGATATCGAATTCGTCACTGAATTCCCATATTTTTTGGGACACCCTGTAGACTTTTTAAAGTTTACAACGGTGTGAAACAATGAGCAGTTTCCTCTCCTATCCTATTTTGTATATACATGAACAAATTGATATCAAGATTAAGATTTCATGGCAGTGGATGTCAACTTGGAGGAGTTTTAATGGGCATATTTATATACGCAGACGACATCATATTGCTTGCTCCTTGTAGAAACGGTTTACAAAATATGGTGAAGATATGTGAACAATTTGCAATCTTATTTTCAATGAAATTTAGTACTAACAATGTAGTTGAAAAGTCTAAGACTAAGTATATAATTTTTACAAAATATCCAATCAATACTGTAAACATTTCGCCCATTTATCTTGATGATGTACCATTAAAACATCTTGGATGCACGCTACAAACAGATAATTAATTTACTCGTGATATAAATCAGAAACGTGGACGCTAAAATTCATTCCCATGAATCAAGAATTTTACTTTGCAGATTCTACAGTTTTGATTAAATTATATAACCTTTATGCAACGAGTATTTATGGATCCAATTTATGGAATTTATTTTCGAATGATGTGTTCAGAATTTATTCGTCTTGGAACACTGCGGTTAGAATTGTGTTTAAATTACCAAACACTTGTCATAGATATTTTATCGAACCATTGTCACAGTCATCTCATTTAATGGCCATGTTCTGCAGTAGATTTCTTTCATTCATTTCTTCATTAGAAAATTCGTCAAAAATTTGTATCAGACTTTTGATAAATCTTTTAAAATTTGATCAAAGGTCAGTAACTGCAATAAATCTGTAAAATAATGCAGACAAATGCAGCAAAGATTTGAATATTATCGACAAACGTATTGTAAAAAAAAGTATGATATTTCAAGAAATACCCGTGGAAGAAGAATGGAGGATTCCATTTTTAAATGAACTAATTTCTGCAAAATCAATGGAGTTGACCAAACTGAGCTTGACGATAATATTAATTTTACAGTATGATCTTGTTTCTTGTATTTGTATTCATTTTTGATATATTCTCTTTTAGTTCTTTTTTTTCGGTTTAATTGTATCAATTATTTAAATTGTGTACGTTTACGAAATAAATAATAATAAAATAATAACCTTTCCCTTCAAGATTTTTCAAAAGGTATCGCTTAAATCTAAGATTTAAACATCCTATTTGTTCACTTAAAATCTTCCTTTACGCGCAAAAAAAACTATTTAGTAAAAAAGTTGTTCACCGTAACAGAGGCTCAGTGTTGCAAAGCAATTCAGTGAGCTTATGGCGCCGGGAGTTACCTATATACCAAATATGGTAGGACTAAGTAAAAAATAAAAATTTAATTATTGCCGACATTGAGATAACCTAACCAAAGCTGCAGTAATAATTAAGAAATTTTCCCTCCCCCGGATTCAACGGTACCCTGTCAATTAATGATTGAATCCTGAGGAGTTTTAGATTTCCATAGATACCAATCATTCTGAGAGTAAAGTGCTCATATCTTCAACCCTTTCAATTAATATAGGTATAAGTTGTAAAATTTATTTTACATAAATTAATAAAAATCATAAAATACAAGATTTAAAAGATCTAAATGTATCAATGCTAGCTGGTAGAGGATCCAAGTGTTAATAAGAAGCTTGTCCATAGAGCATAGGAGTGTAATGGAGTGGAGCTGAGGGGAGATAATAAACTGGATTATAGGAAGCATGGGCATAGGGAGCTGGATTATAGGATACAGGGACAGGGGCAATGGGAGCTGGATCATAAGTAACAGGGGCATATGGAGCTGGATCATAGGCAGGTTCATAGATGGGAGCATAGGGTGCAGGATCATAGGGAGAAGGGGCATAGGAGATGGGTGCATTGGTAACAGGGCCATAGGAGGCAGGGCCATAAGAGGCAGGGCCATAAGAGGCAGGGCCATAAGAGACAGGGCCATATGAGGCAGAGGATTGAGAAGCTTGTACAGGAACAGGACCAAATGGCCTAGCTCCCTTGCCATAGGAGTATTCATTGTATATCTGCTCATACGGACTTGTAGAGACGCTTGGAACATATCTTCCATTGCTGCCACCAAATCCACCAAAACCCTTTGATCCGTATGGTTGTCTGTAAATCATTGGATAAGCAGTATAGCCACTTATATTCACACTGGAAGTATCACGCCTCTTTCTACTAAAACATTATTCAATTTAACATGGTTAAAAACATGGATTAAGTAATATAAGTAAATGTATAATTTGTGGAAGGCTGCAAGAAGAGACATCTATAAAACATTCAGTGGACCAAGGTCAATTTGAATTAAAACCAGAGTGACCTTAGTGACGCTTGGCATGTAACGGCCGGACTCCTTGTACTGACCTTAGCGACGCTTGGCATGTACCAGCCGGACTCCTTGGTAATGACCTTGATGACACTCGGCATGTACCAGCCGTACTCCTTGTACCGACCTTAACAAGACATGTACCGGCCCCACCTTAACCACCCGACTTTTTACAGTACTCGGCTTATCATTAGCCTATTTGACCTAGCCCACTAGCTAAGTTTAGTGTCAGGTAGCCATTAAAATAAATAACAACTCTCAACAGGTGGGGAGAAAAGCATAAAAAATAAATAAACTTACTAAGCCTTTTTGTTGTATCCATAACCCTTGTTGTATCCATATCCAACATCTCCTCCATATCCACCATAAACTTTATTGTATCCAGATCCAACAATGAAAAAAAGTGACTTTCAGAAACAAAAAAGATGGCTTTTACTAAACGAATTTGCTGAACAAACAATAATAAACGAAATGGAACAAAATCACGAACGAAATGGGTTGTTCACTAACTATGAACAACAAAATGAAAAAAGTTAGCCATGCCCATCTCTAATAACAATGCTTTCCCATCGCCTAGTTTCAATGCCTTCCCATCTCTAATTCCAATGCTTTCCTTTGTTTCCAGATTTGTTTTAGTTTCATACAAAACTTAAAATCAAAACCCAAAGTCTTAAACGTTTCAGGTTGGGGAAAAATTAATCCCTCTAGAAGCTACCCTGAGCAGGCTTTAGGTTTTGAAAAAATGTATGGAGCTTACATCTTTAGAATCATAACAGAAATAATTTAGGAAAAGTAATTAGGAAAATCCAAAAAATATGTCAAAGGCGGATTTTCTTAATTCCTGAAAACATTAATATAAAATTTCACAATTCTAAAAAACTAATGTTCCAAAAATTAATCCGATGAATTTGGTAAGCCCACCTGAGCCGGAATTTTTTCAAATTTACGGTCGTATTTAAGACGTCCTAAATACGTCTCCGTACTCTATAGTGTTTTTCCGCTAGATGTCTCCCGTAAGTTATTTTCGGACAGACAGACTTACTCACGTCGTGTTTACTCACATAATTTCGCCGTGAGTTAACCTTATTATAGATGTCAGCACCTGCACACAATACAACTTTATAAACACAGGGATAAATAATAATCACAATTTTAATAATATAATTTAATTCAAAAAGTCAAATTTTAATCCGATTTTGATAAAAACTAAATAAAAAGTTTAATATTCTGTAGTTTTATTTTACGAAAACTATTATAATCCAATGCTGATTCTTGAGAATTTAATATTTTTGAAAGTCGTCAATAAAAAGCATCCCTGAAAATGTATTCTGCAGTGTATTGAACAGCTTTCTATTTATTTTCGTCTATAGGGGTCGCGCGATGTTGCAGTTTATGGTCGGACACTAGATGTTGTAGAAAATCCCATTTAGACAGTACTTAATTCCTCCGTATTCAGGACGTGAGTAAGTGGAGACGTCATATGTTTGCAAAAAGTACGGATGAAAAAATTCGGGCTCTGAACAATGTACAATAGTAAATGTATCTCAGTTTTATACTAGCTAAATATTGTACAAGTTACTTAAATCCAGTTTCAAAAAAGAAACTGACTCTCAATTATTAACAGCGCTAAATACCGAATTTTATCTAATTTCAAGCAAAGAATAAATACGCATAATTTAAAATCATAATCCCCTTGACCTAGTGACCTTTAATAAGAAACGAGAATCTTCTTGATTTGGTTTTAAAAAGCTAAGTTAAATGACTTTAATAGGAACAATCCAGGCAAAGCTGGGTTTCCAAGCAAATATTACTTAATGAACTGTACTCGATTATAAAGTAAAAAGTGGGCATTTATTAAATCATTAAGAACATTCATTGGGGTTAGGGAATAGGGGGCAGAACAAACCCACCCCCTGATTTATATTGAGGCACTAAATATCAATTTAAAGGAATTAAACTCATGCAAAACTAACAATTCTTATTAGTAGATAAATTAAACTCAACTGTCAGCTAAAGAAATTAAAATAAAATAATCAAATAAAAATCAATATAAAATATTATTCTACCTGCACTCCAACAAGCAAGACCAAAGATAGCACACAATGCTTCATGATTCTCTTCCTACTGAATTGATACTGTTGATGTTGAGTAAAGTATTCAAAACGTAAACAAACATGAAGAAAGTGTACTGCATGGATAAATAAATTAATGTACTGCAGTTGTATCACGAGACTATGTAATATTTGAGCAAACAAATATAATATTAATAAAAAAATTTAAAATACTTTTACAATGTTTTTATATATATTTTTTTAAAATAATTTTATAAAATAAAATGGTACGAGGCATAGTTAATAATTTCTAATGTTCATGTTCGCAGTTTATTTTTCTTGCCTCACTTTGCCAGTACATTTATGGCACTGCCCAAATATATTCTATAGTGCAAAAGCTATGGCAACGTAGAATTTGTACACTATTAATGCAGATGTATTCTTACGTCACAAGTGTCAACTTAGCTTTTGTGTCCGACAAAATTATTAATAATAGTGATAATTTTCGAATAAAGTGCTTATCTTACAGTAACAAAAAGTGCAGTTTTATGGTCTATTTTTATTGTCTGTTTTTACACTTTTTTATTTAATCTTGGAGAACCTGTCAACTAATTTGAGAAAATTTCGTTTTCCTTGTTATATTTGACAGTTTGTGACGTCTTGTATAATTCTTCCATTTCTCTGTTGCCACCTATTGTACATTTATAAAAGAAAAACTAAAATTAAAGAAAAATTTATTTTAGTATAACTAGTATTTCAGCGTGTTTAGTATTTAGAGAACCCAGCTTTGTCAGGAAACTAAAATTTCTTAAATAAAAGTCAACCTACTCAACTACTCAACTACTGAACTACTCAACTACTCAACTACTCAACTACTGAACTACTCAACTACTCAACTACTCAACTACTCAACTACTCAACTACTCAACTACTCAACTACTCAACTAACCTACTCAACTTTTCTAAAAAAGAATATTCCCGTGGTTCTACTGTGTTCCCCAGTATAGAAATCTATCTATCTATCTATCTATCTATCTATCTATCTATCTATCTATCTATCTATCTATCTATCTATCTATCTATCTATCTATCTATCTATCTAACGTTAAGACAAATTACAGATTACATGGGATGGATATGTGTTAATGGAAATTAATCAATAATTGGATAAATTATCTGATTAAATATATAATTAGAAAAATCTAATTTACAGGAAACAACATGAATTAAAAGGATTGTTCACGTACTATCAAGTGAACCTTCATTTATAAAGGGATTGTTCACGTATTATCAAGTGAACCTTCATTTATAAAGAGGCATGTCCATTTCACAACATTAAGCTTTAAACCGATGTATGATTGAGACTGAATAAGATATTATAACTTTTTCTCTGAAAATTGACTATTTTGATTACTCAGAAGTTTGAATTGTATATGTGAACTCATAAAAAAGGGGTAATACACTCTATGCCTAATGTCTCTTTTAGCAACACATATATGCCGAAATTTCTACTTTTAATAAATTTACCATTTTTTTTTAGATGAATGCCCGATTCACAACGGTACCCTTAATTTAAACCTTAATTTAAACCTTTAACTGCTCAACAATATTTTTCTAATATAAAATCTTTGAATTCTGTCGATTTAGATAGATAGATAAATAAAGATAGATAATAATACATAAATAAAGAGATAGATAGATAGATAGATAGATAGATAGATGATAGATAGATAGATAGATAGATAGATAGATAGATAGGTAGATAGATAGATTGCTCAGTGAAATAAAATTCACTCCTGAGTGGTTTAATAATTATGAAATCCATTAAAACACCAAACCATAGATAGATAGATAGATAGATAGATAGATAGATAGATAGATAGATAGATAGATAGATAGATAGATAGATAGATAGATAGATAGATAGATAGATAGATAGATAGATAGATAGATAGATAGATAGATAGATAGATAGATAGATAGATAGATAGATAGATAGATAGATAGATAGATAGATAGATAGATAGATAGATAGATAGATAGATAGATAGATAGATAGATAGATAGATAGATAGATAGATAGATAGATAGATAGATAGATNTTTTAAATGAATAAGAAATAAGATCATATCATTTTCATATTGCAAAGTCAAAGTAATAAATGATTACTTGACTCTGTTAGTTAAGCAGTACTCCCTTAAAAGCTCAAATACACTTGTTAAAAAGGTTAGCCTTTATAGTGTGCATTGACAATGTAATAAAAACAACCATATACCACTGTAAAACCAAACCAAACATTGTTAAAAAATCATTAAAAACCCCCAAAAATTTTTTTTCGCCTGCAGCGCATCAGGTTGCACCCCCCCTGGTCAAATCCTGGCTACGGGCCTGAAATATATATATATATAAAGGTTACCTTAATTAGATCTATAAAGATTACCTTAATTAGATTTATACAGGTTACATTAATAAGATTTATATAGGCTACATTAATTACATTAATTACATTACATTACATTACATTACATTACATAATTACATTAATTACATTAATATACAGTTAGAACCATTAAACTCTGGACTAGGAAGAAGACTTTAAAGCAACCTTATGAGTATTCAATGTTATGTAAAGCAATGTGTTGGGAAATTGGTGAGCGTACAGTGTACAGTACAGTGCATGTTTATGGACTACTTAAAATCATAATTTGAGTCTAACAGCCGTCTTCCTTTAGCCAGTTTTACTTTTAGGGCTCCATTGTAGAGTCAGTAAAATCAAAAACTTATCTGCTTATTTACTTAATTACTTATTTACTTACTTACTTACTTACTTACTAACTTATTTTCTTACTTACTTACTTACTTACTTACTTAGTAACTTACTTACTTACTTATTTACTTATTTACTTACTTACTTACTTACTTACTTATTTACTTACTAACTTACTTACCTACTTACTTTATTACTTACTTACTTATTTACTTACTTACTTACTTACTTACTTACTTACTTACTTACTTACTTACTTACTTACTTACTTAATTACTTATTTACTTATTTTCTTACTTACTTACTTACCTACTTACTTACTTACTTACTTACTTACTTCATTACTTACTTACATTAACTAACTTACTTACTTACTAACTTACTTACTTACATTCTAACCTAATTAATTAATTAATAACTTACTTACTTACTTACTTAATTACTTACATACTTACTAACTTGCTTACTTACTTACTTACTTACTTACTTACTTACTTAATTACTTATGTACTTACTTATTTACTTTATAACTTACTTTATAACTTACTTATTTACTTACTTACTAATTTACTTACTTACTTAATTACTTACTTACTTACTAACTTACTTACTAACTTACTTATTTACTTAAAAACTTACTTACTCACTTACTTACTTACTTGCTTATTTACTGACTTACTTACTTACTTACTTACTAACTTACTTACTTACTAACTTAATTATTTACTTTTTTACTTATTTTCTTACTTACTTACTAACTTACTTACTTACTAACTTACTAACTAACTAACTAACTAACTTACTTAGTTGCTAACTTACTTACTTAATTATTTACTTGTTCATATTGTAGAGAGGGGGGGGGGGTTAGGTAGGGTTGTCAAAAATGTAAAAAACGAACGAATACGGTTTTTTTCTTTTCGTTTTGACTTTTCAAAACAATCACGAACTTTCGTTTTTTGTAAAATCGATTTTTAAGCTTTACGTTCTTTTCTACGTGTTGTAAATCGTTTTAAAAAAATGGTGCATAGGAAATCGATCTATAATCCTTTGGTGCATAGGAAATCGACCTATAATCCTTTTGATCTAATGGCAATTTGATCTAAAAGAATCTGATCTAAGTGGACTTAGATCTAAAAAAAAATTTTAGACCAAATTCCAATTATTTAGGGAAAATTGTGGAATTTGATCTAAAATTTGGATTTTATATATTTTGAGTAAAAAATATCATTTAAAGATGTTTATTTTTGAAGACAAATATTTTAGATCAAATTCTACATATTACAGATAAAATTCCCAAATTTTGTGCAAAAATTATATTGGAAGTACAAAAGTATTTATAGTAGAATTAGGTCTAAAAAATCTGATCTAAAATCTGATCTAAAATATGAAGAATTCAATCTAAAAAATGTATAATTTGATCTAAAAAATGTGGAATTAGATCTAAAAAATGTAGAATTTATATGAAGAAAGATCTTTCAGTTTTAACAGTAGAATTAGGTCTAAAAAATGTATAATTTGATCTAAAATATGAAGAATTCGATCTAAAAATGTGGAATTAGATCTAAAAAATGTAGAATTTATAATTTTTAGTTTTTGAATGAGAAAAATAAATATATATAAACATAGTAAACATATAAACATAAATTGTGTGGCATTACATTTTTAACATTTGGCCCTGGGATTTCCAAAATGTGGTCTACCATTTTGTTACCTTTAAAATGGATTGGAGATACAGTAGTATTTGATTATATCAATACAATATTCTGGTTTCTCATTATTCACAAAGATTTTCGCAGATTTTCTAGAATTATTATTGAAAAGACATTTGAAGAATTTGAAGAAATCTGCGAATAAATTCAAAGAAAATTAGAAATTCAATATAATAATGAAAACAATATAATCGGTTTTAGTATTGATTTAAAGACAAATTTCTTCAGCGATTATATTAATACAAAGAAGAGGACTATAAAATTAAATTTTGATTTGGAGCAGCCAAACCATGATATACCTGAGGATGCACTCCATTCTCCAGATGGGACAATAAACAGAGCTACATGAGACTTGGAGCAGACAAATCAGCATATCCAAGAGACACAGGAGAACTAGGATATCCAGGGCATACAAGAGGGCTAGGATAATCGAGGATATTGAGGCAGGAGACACAGCACCATATGGAGCAGCTCCTCCCAGATATGATGTAGCAGAAGCATATGTACAAAATGATCCTAATATAGGAGATAATGCTCCTTACAGAGTAGCTCATCATGAACCTGGTGTATAGGCAACAACTAGAAGAGACAAT